GAGAAGCGCCGTGTAAGTTCTTACTGCGCGATGATTCTGATTGGTTGAGGTCGAGTTAAGAGGGATCAACATGGCTTTCGATGGGCGGTCACTCCCAAACTCTCCTATACCCTCCTCTGCCACACCCTTCGCTTTTCTCCGCGTCTCTCTCTCTTCTCGCAGCTATAAATTCCGCCGGCGCCCCCGCAAAACTCTCTCTCAACTCATCGGCCAGCTTCCGGGAAGTAGTGGCTAGGTGATGTGTATGATACGAGTCGAAAAGTCCTAACGAGCTGACTGTAGGCTGGCTGGCAGTGCGCTAGATCGCCACGACGGACTGTGGGATCCAGGCAAGCCACGTGGAGACTAGGTCGGCGGGGTGACGATCGCAGTGTTGGAGGATGATACGCGACGGCCGGGATCGTCGGTGTCAGAATGCGGACAGGTGATCTGAGTTGAGTGGATGACTAGCCCGGGGCCATGTTGGAATTTGGTGGCACGTGCGCCCTCTTGGTTGCGACTCTATTCTTTGGTGTGAATTTGCGGCGGTAAAGCCGGACCTTCTTTTCCTTTCCCTATCTCAGTGTAACTCTTCCCTCCAATCTTGATGTCCCCATCTCTCACTGTCTCATTCCTTCTTCCTCTTCTTCCGTGATGTGAATGATTCTACATAATAAGTCCATATTTGGCGCATGATGGAATGGGTATGATGGTTGTGTGATTGGAATGCTCTCTTTCGAAACTCTTCCATTAGTTTCCTGGGTAGTCCCCAGATCTCAGGGTTTGTCTTGTGAACGGTGGATGTGCGTGTATCCAACCTTAAGGATTTCGCCCTCGACCCAACCGTGTAGGGCATTGTAGGATGGTCATTTTCACACCTTCCACAGTGAATGCATGCATGGAAGATGGGAATGAACGGGTACGAAACCCATCTTGATTAGGACGAGTCGATGGCAGGGGCAATGTAGTTGGGATTTGGAAATGTGAGAATGCTTTGATTTGTGATTATCGAATAGGTGTTGCGAGTACATATGCGATTGCGATTTCACCACACACGATCTGAGCACGAAATGGCGGCCGCGTCTTGCCGCACACGAGTTTTTCTTTCTCCGAACCCTCTGTTTCTCCTTTCTGGCCTTTGTGATTAGATTGCTAAGATTGCATGCATGCGATGAACGATCAAAATATCCTTGATTGTTTGCCATGTGGACTAACGGGCTCAACCCGACTAGGCACCAGCCTCCCGTAGCCCCTCTCCGCCCCTTCCCGTATAACGAGGACAGGACGCGAATCTGTGAGTGGGACATACGAGAAGCAATCGCAAAGATCGGTGGGCAATACTACTTCCCTCCCGAAAATCGGTGTTCTGGGTTTGTCGGCGTTGGGTTTGTCATCGTCGATACGCATTTTCCACCGTACTCGCTGCTATTACCATTTAACGAGTTGATCGTCATCCCGTGGTCGGCAGTAGTGCCCCATTGGCCTAACACCTTGTGTAGTGATTGCCAACGACTCGACCACTACCAATCGAAGGGGTTCCACTACCGAACACGAGATGAGGATGAGCACAAGGAAAGGGCCACGCGATTAAGACCGTCCACGTCGGATTCAGAATTCTGCAATGTGCGGCGTCGGGAGCTAGTGCGAAAGCGGGATACTAAACACGTGCCCGCTCCCTTCCACTCCAAACGCAGAGCCGTGGCTCGGTGGGAGGTCCGACAATATTTTCTGGATTGAATTTAAACTTCCTCGCGTCACATATTCCGTGCGCGCGTCGCCTCAAAACCCGCGTCGCCGCCAACCAGATCTCTCACTTCATCAGATCAACACGGGGGATTTCAGTTTCGTCTGTGTCCCCACACTCAATTTTCCAAAATCCTTGGCACACCCCATCTTGCTGTTTTTCGGGGCCTCCCTTCTGCACCTTTAGCACTCCGAACGGAAAACAGCGCAGGGCGTGAGGTTGCGCGTCACACACTGCTGTTATTCGATTAGGGGTGGGGGAAGATGAAAAGGGAGGTGCAACTAGTGGCAAAATGCGCGGTCTTTGTGTTAGCCGTACCCCCACCGGCGGTCCCACCCCATCCTTGACCACCATGGTTCGGGAGATGGGGGGTCAACATGCATCCTCTCTGACGGCTGGAGGGAGACAACAAAGCTATGTTCATAGAGGTCCCCTGTATAAGCCTTAGGAGTAGTGGTAGGAAGGTAATGAAGGTGAATTGAAAGGATTTGAAAGATGAGGAAAGATTTTCAAAGATGATGAAAAGAAATGCCAGTACCACCCGGGAGGGTGGGGGAAAAAAGAAAAGAAGAAAGTCCCAGCATCAAGAAAAAGGAAAAAGATCCAGCGGCGTAGCACAGTTCGTAAGGCACACAAGTGGCATTCAGGAGGTCTTGGGCTCAATCCCCATTGGCCTCACTTACCTTCCTGGGCAAGCTTGGCGCCCCCCACCTACAGATAGGCCATTGGTCCCAACCCAGCGGCAGACTGTTGATGCCCAACCGAGCGGCATTGAGCAGAGACTGCTGACGTTCGTAGGGGGAGGGGATCGGAGGGAAGGCACACCGACTGGCCCATGGACGAAGCTCGGTCCTGATGCTACCTGCTGACCCCTGGCCAGTATCACCCACCTGCTGTACAGCTCCCGCATATTCCCTCGTTGGAGGCTTGAACTCGGATGTGACTGCTACGGGGTTCCAGGGACCATGTCCCACTTTGAGGTTTACTTCTGGTTTCGGGTATACATGTCTACTTGCCATCCGCTGATCCGATAATCTCACCGCCACAGTGTGACCACGTTAAAAAATACTCACAGTGTGACCCCGTTAAACATCCAGTCTCTACAACAACCTGAAAAAAAAAAAAAAAAAAAAAAAAAAAAAAAAAAAAAAAAAAAAAAAAAAAAAAAAAAAAAAAAAAAAAGCTTCTAAAAAAAAAAAAAAAAAAAAAAAAAAAAAAAAAAAAAAAAAAAAAAAAAAAAAAAAAAACGCGCGCCCCAAGGGGAAGGGGGGGCGCGATATTTAGGGGATGAACGATTTATTTTTTGTTTTTTTTTTTTTTTTTTTTTTTTTTTTTTTTTTTTTTTTTTTTTTTTTTTTTTTTTTTTGGGTCACAGAATTATAATTGCAACAACATTGCTGCAGGAAGCTGAGGAAGTGGAATAAGGGTTTCTTTTTTCTTGGGGAGGGTGAGGGGTTGCAGGGGGGGGCGGGGACGGGGGAAGGGAAGAGGAGAGGGGGGGTTGCGTAGGAGGAGGAGGAGGAGGAGGAGGAGGAGGAGGGGGAAGATGTGGCCATGTCAGACACACATTGTGGACCAACCTGGCAGCAATTCCGTGGCCTGACAACACTTTGCACTTCATGCTCTGGCGCTGGGCAAAGCCATAGCGGGTCGATTGCAGGGGGAAGATCGACTCTGGGACTCTTTAGACCGCTTGCTGGGGTTAGCCCAAGATCAACCTCCTCCGATGAGCCGGCTGACGCAGTCTCTTCAGGTTTCGGCACCTTTCCAAAATGCAGCCGCCATGCCTGCTTAAGATATTGGGCGTACAATTCTCTGCAGAGTGCCGCAAGCATGAGACGATCAAAGAAAAGGCATCGTGTTCTGAGGTCAATCAAGCAATCAATCAATCAAGCAATCAAACAATCAAACAATCAAGCAAGCAAGCAAGCAAGCAATCAAGCAATCAAGCAAGCAATCAAGCAAGCAATCCAGCGATGGATCAATCAAGCCAGCAAGCAATAAAAGCAAGCAACTAACCCATCAATCAAGAGATAGATCCTCAGTACCTTGATAGATCAATCAAGCAATCGGTCAATCATTAAGTCAATCGGCCAACAGAAGAATCAATGTGTTAAATCAACCAATCAATCAGTCCATGGATGCATCAATCGATCAATGGTCAATCATTTCGAGCAATCCATTAATCAACCAATCGATCGGTTACTCAATCAATCAATCAGGCCACAAGTCAGCCAACCAATCAATCAATCATTTTAATCAACCCATTTTCAAGTCGTCGACTCAATCAATCCATGTGTCCATCAATTATTCAACCAAGCAAGGGAGCATCTTGACGACAAGCCACCCAATAAATTCGATAAAACATGTATTGTTAAAAAAGGAAAAAAAAAAGGAGCCGCATGCTCAAGGGACAATTGCCGGAAGGGACAAATTTCATTTTTTTGCCACTATCCTGTCTCGGAAGGAAGTACGTCAAAAGTTTTTTTTTTCTTGCTCGCAGGGTTGCCAGGCCGAACGTACGGAGGCCCCTAAGCTGACCCCCGAACGTTCGGGCGTTGACCGGGCCCGAACTCGAAGGGGATCGGACCCCGCCAAAAATTATTTTGGTACCTAAAAGTTATTATTTTTTTCTGAATTTTTTTTGGTGAGTTCTTGGTTATGTAAGCTACCTGCCTGTAAATTTTCAAGGCATTCTGTGAAGCCAAAAAATAATTAAAAATCGGCAAAGATGGTGGTGTCAAAACTTGCTTGCCCACTTACCAATTTGTTTTTTTTCTCTTTTCACTTTTTGTTTTCCTTTTATTTCGGGGCATGAAAAAAACTATTATTTTTTCAAACTTTATTTATAGGTTCTATATTATGTAAGATACATATGTATAAAATTTAATGGTATTTGACAAAGCCAAAACAAAATGAAAAATCGCCAAAGATGGCGATGTCAAAAACGTCCGTGCCCACGCAATAATTTCATTCTTGTTTTATTTTTTCTTATTTTCAATAATATTATTTATTTTTTGTATTTGATTTTTATTTCAAATTTGGTAACGAATTTGGATGTACTGTTGAGGCAAAAGTTGTTTAGTTTATTCTTCTACATCACATATATTTTTTTCAGATTTTTTGGAGACTTTTTGTTTTTGTTTTTTTTTTGGTCCGCGTTCGGCCGAACGTCCGAACGCGCGAGAGGGGGTCCCGAACGTTCGGGCGTTCGGGTTCGGGTGTTCGGCCCGTCCCGAACGCCGGCAACCCTGCTTGCCCGTTTGTCTTCGGACGC